TCAAACAACTAGCCAGTCAACCAACCAACCAACCAACCAACCAATGAACCAACCAACCAACCAACCAACCAACCAGCCAGTAAATCAATGCAATAAAACTGAAGAGTTTCCTAGTGTAAGGAGAAAATAACCTATATGGAAATTTAGGTATCTTTATAGACAGCACCGAATGCTGGAAAAAAGGGCAACATTGGAATCATTCAACATGACATGGCTGTCAGCCCTACAATGGGTGTATAATCAATCATATGTCATGGGTAAAAAAATAAAATCCACAGCATTGCCAATCGTCCTATCAAAAAGAAACGCAATCCACATTAAAATAAAAAACAAATTTTCCTTCAGATATTTTATCTTCAAATAATTCCAAATAGAAAAATCTTTATGTTGAATTGAAATATGTCCTGACCAACAAAACAGGTCACAGACTGTTTGACTTAGGAAGGACACAAGATTACAGACTTTTTCCTCCTGCACCCGGTTACTTATTTCATGTGGATACTGAAGAAGTCCCGGTACTGAAGTGACTCTACCTTACTCGCAGACTAGATTTCTTTGGAAATTACTGTGTACATGCTGCTGCAGAAAGGCTCACGGTGAGCGTCTTTGCCTTTAGAGTTCTAAAACACTAGGTTTATGTTTTTTATGTGGGAAAATGTAGCATATCATCCTTTACTCACAAAGTTTATACAAATGGTACTGTTTAATGTACATATTACAACTATTTAGCAGAGGGTCAGCTTTGGACAATGTAGTGAATAACTATGGACTCTTTACTCAAGACCTTGTTTCTTACCTGTCTGCCTGTTCTCATCAAATATGTTTTCTTATATATACCAGGATTTCTTTCTTCAAACATGGAATTTTTCTTTACAGTCTTTTACCTTTCAGTAAAGTGAGGTGATCTGGGATTCTGCAATGGATGTGATCTATAACCCCCTTTTATAATAGTTATATGATGTAGAGTTTGCAAACTTCAGAGGGTCTAGCCAGTGTAAAGTATAACAATATCTAACACAATAAGTCAAATTGCATGAACTTGAGTTGCCTAAAGAATACCCTTGAGTTTCAAGATCACTGCACGAAGACCAAATACAAACCTGATTTTTCAAGTTTTTGAAAAGCAGCTGAGGTTAAACCCAAGAGGTACTTTCATGCATAACTGGAAACCACAGCAGCACATGCTAAGCCCAGACTGAAACCACGTGTGTGTCTTTCCTGCTGCTCTATACTGTGATCTGCATCATAGCTTAGATGAGACTCTGAGCTCAGAGGTAACACAGTAAAGGTCATGTTGCAAGGAAAATGTAAAATGGGGGATGCAAAATGGTGGGTACAATGCTATGTGGGGTGTAGAAGAATGGCTTCTTTCTCCATATTTTAGTTGCAAAATTGTACTTTTATTGTCCATTTAGAAACACATACCCCATTTTAAAACAATAAACACCTCCACCACCACCAACAAAAGTACCCAACTGGTGGTGGTGGTGGAGGTGTTTATTGTTTTAAAATGGGGTATGTGTTTCTAAAAGGACAAGCAACTGATCATTCTATTATCTACTAGTAATGTGAGCCCAGAAAGAAGGTCAAAGTGTTCCAGTCATCTCTGTCATGGTTTCCTTACAATACTGAGTAACTCTGAAGCAGTGTGGCACTGGAACTAAAGACTAGCAAGGTTTACAAGAAACCCTGCAACACTAGGACTTACTTATACTGTTGACTTTTTTCTCAGTGTGCAGAGTTATAGATGCAGACTAGTTATGTTAGACAACACCTGGGGTTCACAACCCAGTGACATAAGTATTTTTCTAAAAATGATATGTCAGAACAAATGCTCAGAGTTTTAAAAAGATAATTAAAATAAACTCAATAAAACTTCAGAGAAAAATACTCATTTATGAAAGGGTTCAAAAGACATATTTCTAAGATACTAAAAATATTCTGGTGGTAGAAGCTAGAAAGATGGCTCAGCAGTTGAGAGCAGAGTGCTCTTGTAAAGGACTTGAGTCCAATTCCCAGCACCCACCTGTGACCCAGTTCCAAAGGATCTGACCCCTCTGGCCTCCAAGAGCATCTGCACAAATATGCATCCCCACATGCTGGAATAAGATGTAAACATCTTCGGTGGGAGTTACTGAGAACAAAGGGATGAGCAGGAATGTGCATGTGAGAATCACTCTGCTCTGGGACATCAGTTTGTTACGAGCGTGCACTGTGTAATGATTCTGGTTACTTTAACGGGTCAGACAGAAGGGTGAGCACATGACGCCTGCGTTTGCCTTGGTAAACCAGCCTACTGTCATTCGCAAATTTCAATTAAAGACTAGGAAGTGAAAATAAAATTAAATTAAAGCAACTTTTTAAAGACTCAAGTATTTTTACCTTTTTAGGTAAATTTTAGTTATACAATATAACTAACACATATAGTAGCTTCATTAGTCTTCAATCAATCTGCAATGGACAAAGGAAGGCCCAAGAAGAATCTGCACAACATTCTGTAAGAATGACAACTGCTCAGTGTGAAATGAAATGAAAATTTACTGACCTAGAAACAAACAAAATCATTTATTGTTTTTCAAATTCCAGAAATAAAGGTAACAGAAGGACATACAATCTCTAATAAGCTGGTCTTAAAATTTCTAGCTACAGTCTATTTAGATCATGTAAGAAACAAAAATTCTGTATGATTTTCTACCTGAGAAAATTACCCAGAAAAGAAACATGCTTTAATACTCTTAACCACAAAGAACCTTCTACAGTGGCATGATTATGGGAAAACGAGAGACAGCCTGGAGTCCACTCCCAGAGTGGCTGCTTGCTGTGCGGCTGCGGACTGTGACCACCGCAGCACACTTTCCATCAGCACCAGCCCATCCCAGCGAAGAAGCACAGTGATATTCAAACATCTGCTTAGAGTCGTCAATACGTAAAAATCATGGTACACAGATCTGGAAATGTTTAACCTGCCCATAAATAAGAGCATATTACCTCAGCACAAGCTTTTAAGAGCGGCCTAAACATTCAGTCCAGCCACAGGGGTAGCAGACTGAATGTTGGTTAAAGTGAAGATAGAATGAAATTATAGCCATTATCATTGCCAAGAACTAATGCAGAAAGAACTTAAAAAAACTTCAGTTCTTCTGGCAGCAAAATTATATCTGTTGTTATTTAAGCAAGGAAAACTCACCCCAGAGCTGAATGCAATTTGTGCTGTGTGTACAGAATGGAGCATCACTCGCAGACATCTCTAAAGGACTACATTTATAAATGAATTTCTTTACATCACAGTTTATTTTAAATTATCTTATGTAGATTATTGGTAGAACTAATATCATTCTATTACTTTAACTGTATGAATCAAAGTCTTTTGTTTAAAGAGTGATTTATTGTAATTCTTAAGGTAAACAACAAATTCTAAAATTATAACTCGAAATTCAGCATTTAAATTTCAGATGACAGAATCAATAATTGGTAACATCTTCTTCAAATTCATATTAATAATCTGATTTAAAAACACTAGCAACTACCTGGCAATAGAGTTTAAGGAATCAGAAGGGATCTGAGAAGTAAGAAAACCAAACTGAACATGCGAAATACTCCCAACACATGATCTTCGTTCTCACTATAAACGACCCTGGGAGACGTTCATAACACATGATCGTTCTGCACAATACAGAGCTTCTAGAACATTTCTACAAGAAAGTTCAGGTTTTGGTCTTGAGGGGAAGAATAGATGGAGGGGGTGAAAGAGTGAAATGTAGGGAGTCGTAGCTTCTCACACGGAGGCGAGCTGCAGTTCTATCCAGCAGGCTGGCGGCTGGATTTCAGCACACAGCTTTCAAGGCAACTACCAGCCAGCACACCAGCTTCCCTTCCACGGTAACAATTCTTTTAAAAGCTTTCATAAAGGAGTGTTGGTTTTGTAGGGTATTTTTCCCACAAAAGGGAACAAAAACTAAACAGAGGAGAAGCTTCACTCCCAAATCAGCACATGATCCAGTACAGCTGACAGTCATTATTATACCTCAAACAACTAGAAAGCATTTCTACTACTGTCAGTCCCACATTTAATGAATCAGAAGGTAACAGACTTCAAGGATGCTGAACCTTAAAAATGTACCTGCATTATTACTCACTGTAGAATGGAAAATTTAAAACTGCTTTTAAATCAAATCATCAGCAGAAAACTCAACCATAATTGTAAAAAGAGGGAAAATGATGTAAAACACCAACACCCCATGTCTCAAGGCAAAACTCTGTGGGAAACAAAGTGAGAAGACAGACACAGCAAACAATGCTCTCCAGCTGTCTGAGGTGTAACACCGAGCGTCTGCTGTCCTGGGTCATGTGCTGAGCCAGGAGGGGCAGAAGCACCACAGCTGGATGTGGTGAGCTCAACCAGCACACAGCTCAACTGCGTGCATGGATTTGGAACGAAGCTTCTCCTCTTATTTATTCTCTGCCCCTTTTCGGGGAAAATACCCTACAAAACTAATACTCCTTTATAGTTATGAGAGCTTTTAAAAGAATTGATAGCTGTGGGACGGGAAGCTCATGTGTGCTGGTTGGTAGTTGTCTTGAAAGTTGTGTGCCGAAATCTAACTGCCAATCGACTGGATGGAACTGCAGCTTTTCAACTGGAAGACAGGATAGACGAGGAAGGACGGGAGGGAAGGATGGAGGGATGGAGGGAGAGGAGAAGAGGAGAGGGGGAGAAGAGAGGAAGTGAGGGAGAGGGAGAGAGTGAATGAGAGTATAATGTGAATATGAATATGGAAGAGAGTCAGGCAGCAACAGTTTCTGGACAGAAGTGAGAGAAAGCGAGGCATGTGCTGTGGCTCTCTTTCTTCTGTTTTCTGTGTTCCTAAATAATTTACAATGTAAGCGGCATGGAAGCCACATTAGCAGGCAAAAGTGAGCCTTCTGATGGACAGAGATGAAGGATTGGGGCTAATGGATTGTTTTACTTTCTCTTTTTGTTTTTTTCTTGTCAATCATACCTGAAAGCCTTGAATCCTTGCTAAATATTCCAGCTGTTTTGAAGGCTGTACTGGAGAACAAGGGGGAGTAGGAGAACTTCCTTTTAAACCTATGGCTTCAGCTGTAGGAGATGTTCCACTCATAAGGAGTTCCCTGGCAACTGTGGCTGAACTAGCCGATGAGGGAGACATGCTGAAGAAAGAACTTGAAGGTTGGTTCATATCTTTGGGTGACAGGTAGCCTAGAGTCGTGCCAGAGGTCACTCTGTGGCGGCTGGCTTCCATCTCTTGATAAACATCAGGAGAAAGATGAAGAATTCCTTTTGGAGCTATGAATAAAATAAAGGCACGGTGTTAATACACTTAAACTAATGAAAACAGAAACACTTTACAGCATTATTAAGTCAGTGGCTTCCTTTGCTACAGTGAAAAAGGAACGAGAAACTGCCCATTAATGAGAGGACTGGGAATGAGCACCGTCTTCACCCTGAAGCTCAAGATCTTGTACCTCATGTAAAAGAGGAAACACCCCCAAATACTGAGGTAAAATCAAGACAGCCTCAGTTCAGATATCATTTCAGAGACAAACCTAAATGTCCAGTGGCCTACTGCCCCTCCACATGGGTATCCCACAGACAACTCTGGACATTGAAGTTTTTATTTTTTCAAGATCTTACTTTTCCCCCAACATTTATTGATTATTTAGGAATTTCACACAGTGCACCCCATAACACTCGCTTTCAATTCGTCCCAGGTTCACCCACCCACCCACCCATGTCCCCTCACAAAAATGAAAAAATAAAAAAGAAAAAAATACACAAGTTCAATTTGTGTTGCCCATATACTTACGGAGCATGGTCAATCTCCCAGTGGCCAGCCCCTTAAAGATAACTGAGTCCTTCCCCATCCCATACTCCACCAGAAGTCATCAACTGTGAAAAGCTACTTCTTACACATCCCTATCACATTTTTTTAAGGACTCTCTTCAATTGCTTCCTGTCTAGACTATTTCTCTTTCGGGAGTAGGGTGGGGAAGGTTGTCACAAAAGCCTTCAATGTCTCTCTTTGTCAATTATGAGTCTGCAATCATTGATACCACTGTACAAGAAGCTTCCTTGCCCAAAACAGTCAACTGGAGCATGGATAGTGGACGTCTACATTGTTTCCAGTGGCAGCAGATCCAAGAACCTCAACAAGGTCCCAGTGACACCATGGAACACGGACTCCAAAATGACCTCCAGCAGCAGGATGGACCAGACACCAACATGACCTCAGGCGGCAGCAGAGCAGACTCCCCAGAGCTGCTAAAAGGTCCCACAGGTATCGCTGCTGCCATCTTGAATCATAAATTCTTTTTATTTTAAATTATACTTATGTATTTGGAAGGAGACCAGAGAGGGTGTTGGAACCCTAGAACTGCAGTTACAGGCAGTTGTGGGCCACCTGATATGGATGCTAGGCACCTAACTCAGGTCTTCCATAAGAGTATTAAATACTTTAAACCACCGAGCCATCTCTCCAGACATGAAAGCTTTTCAACTGTTAGTTCTGGGTTAGGTTAGAAAAAGTGGCTATTACAACCTTTACCTTTCTCTCTTCTCAATGGCTCTGGGTGGCTGAGTATGCCGCATCCATTAACATTCTCAGACATGCTAAACAGAGATCAGCCATCTGAATGGACCTCAGAAGAGCTGAGGTAATGGCACGTGATCATCTTTTTCCCTTCTTAGGAAGAATCTTGGAGCTGGTTCTTGGGTTGCCTCAGCTCTAAGAACAATGCCACAGACTAGATACACAGCACAAAGATATTTAATTTTGCGCTACCACTTTTGGTACAAGTAGTGTCACATGGCTGTTTCCATGCCTGCCTGGGGTTCAGGAGCCTCTCTGACTAGCTTCTAGGTTTTTCATCAACGGAACATGCCCATGTATGTATTCTTGCAAGTTAGTATGTTTGTGGAGATAAAAAGGGTCCAGGGCTTCACAGTCTAGATCATTCTCTTGCTTTCATCATGCACTGGTTTACCATCACTGACACTACAGTGTCTGAACATTTTCAGATGACACAGGAAGTCCTTCTGACTCCTACCATATTCTTTATGAAGAGCCTAGACTCCAGACGCACATTCCGATTGTCCAGGCTGAGGACTATACACACATGTACACGCATTTTCCTCCACTCCCTCACTGCTCCTAACTTCAGTTCTAACTGATGTGGTTCTGGGCATTGTGCCAATAATACTGTCTGGCTTGAAGTCATTGACAACTGGTTAGGGCAAGAAAATGAAATAGATCTCAGGTCCAGGAGTGAGGAGAGAACTAGGGCAGATGGAGATCACGGACATGGTACCAGCCTGGAGAGTTTGTGCGGCAATCACCCTCCGACAGTGTCTAACAGTTCTCACCACCAGATACAGAGAGAGTGAAAGCTGCAATGGTGAAGGCAAGGTTCCTGGATCCCGATTCTGAGAGCGCAACAAAGCTTTGTGTGCTCACACAACTGAACCAGCTTAAAATATCTACTCAGTTTAATAGGGCTCTTTACACCTTTGGGCTAGTCTTCAAGTTCTGTATTAATAAGTGCTAATATTTTTCAATTTTAAAGAAATTTTGATTTTAAACATGTGAAGAAAAAAGGAACTGGAGAAAATACAGCAAAATCTCCACAGGCAGCAGAAGACAAATCTGAGACAAACAAAGATGACTTCAGTCCTTCTCATCTACGTACCTTCTACTTGTTGTACCTTCAAGAGAAGTCAAGTCCAAGACTATTACATGAATTCTTTGTCTACAAAATAACACTTCTGCACTAATGTTAAAAGCATGGCATTTTTGGTTATATGAACTATTGTTCTTAAAGCAGTTCCAGGTTTGGGGTAGGAAACAGCTTAGTGGTCGAGTTCTACCCAGTACCACATGAAAAAAAGAATCCACACTGCTGCACGTTGAATTTGTTTCTGATTTTGGCAACTATAGACATAATGATGAGCATTCCTGCAGTTAGATCCTTGTTCACATGAACATTTGCTTCCTTTAAGTGGAAACAGAATTCTAACTCACAGGCTATGCACTTCAGATTCTTTCTTTTGTTTTACATTACTGAAGTGCCCTCCAAATAAACTGTTCTCATTTCACATTCCCACAGAAATATCTGAAAGTGTCTTATTTCCTACTCTGGACTCGATATTGTACTTGAAGAACATTCCCTTTTATTAACAGTGACGGGGCAGGTCAGTGGTTGCCTGGGCGTGGAGCTGTCAAGAGTGGCAGACTACAGAGGGCACAAGGAAATGTTGGGGGAGGTAGAAACGCTCACTTCACAGGCTTATAAACAAAGTGTACCTGCACATACAGTTCATCACACTTCAATTAACATTATGGAAATATTTTCACAGTCTCATTCTGAGATTCCGAGAGGTAGGATCGCCATTTCAAACTGAGGTAAAGATTAGGAAGGAATTCTTGGCAGGAGTAGATTTTTCTCATTCAAAATAAACAGCTAGAGGCAGGACTGAACCAGCGACCTAAGCCAGAGCAGGCCTGAGGCAGCAAACTCCACAGGAGCAGGATTGAGTCTGACCTGGGCCAGAATGGGCCTGGGACAGTAAACTCCATGGGAGCAGAAGTGGAACCAGACCAGGGACATTTGTGGAAGAGGACTGGGCCAGTGACCAGGGCCAGAGCAGGCCTGAGGCAGCGCGTTCCATGGGAACAGGTACAGGGGAGCAACTGCTGAGCAAGTGGGTCAGAGTCAGAGACTGCTGTGTGTCTGGGTGTGATCTGGAACCTTCAAGGGAGTAGACCTAAGCCAGGAAACCTGTGGGTCCAAGCATGAGTCTGGAACCTCCTTAGTAACTAGGCCTGAACCAAGACTTCTGCAGGTCTGGGTGTGAGTCTGGGACCTTCAAGGGAGTAGGCAGGAACAAGAGACCTCTGTGGGTTCAGGCATGAGTCTAGGACCTCTGAAAAAGTGGTCCTGGGCCAGGACCTCTGCAGGTCTGGGCATTGGTCTGGGACCTCCAAGAGAGTAGGGAGGAACAAGAAACCTCTGTGGTCCAGGTGTGAGTCTGGGACCTCAGAGGGAGTAGACTGGAGCCAGAGACCTTTGCGGGACCAAACCAAAGGAAGGGAAATCCGCAGGAGCAGATCCAGACCAGGGACATTTACAGAAACAGGTCTGAGCCAGGAACCTAGGCCAGAGCAAGCCTGAGACAGCGAACTCCATGGAAGCAGAGAAAATCCCATGAGTACTGAGCGACATCCAAGAACACAGAGTGACCAACAAGGTAACTAGAACTGTGGCACTGACTGCACCATGAGGAACAATGATCTGAGCCTTGGATCCACTGGCACCTGGAAAATTAATCACCAGAGTCATAGACAGCCCAAACCACACCAAATTAGAGGAAACAATGAGTAGACATGGCAAGAACACACACAACACCACAAAGAGTAACACAACACCAGTAAAATCTAGTGACCCTACAACAGCAAGACTTGAACAACCAAATATAGATGAAGCAGAAGAAAATGACCTAAAAAAATAACTTCAAGAGAACATTTGAGACTCTTAAAGAGGAAATGAAAAATTCTCTGAAAGAAATGGAGAGAAAGACAAACCAAAAATTGGAAGACATCAACAAATCCCTTAAAGAAAACCAAGAAAAAGCAATCAAACATGTGAAAGAAACTATTCAGGACTTGAAAATTGAAATAGAGACAATAAATAAAACACAAGCTGAAAGAATTATAGAAACAGAAATTATGAAAAAATAATCAGGAACCACAAATGCAAGCATAAACAGCAGAATACAAGAGGTGGAAGAGAGAATCTCAAGCACTGAAGATACAATAGAGAAAATAGACTTATCAGTCAAAGAAAACATTAAATCTAACAAAAACTTAACACAAAATATCCAGGAAATATGAGACACCATGAAAAGACCAAACCTAAGAATAATAAATAGGTATAGAAGGAGAAGAAGTTCAACTCAAAAGCATAGGAAATATATTTAACAAATACATAGAAGAAAACTTTCCCAACCTAAAGAAAGATATGCCTATGAAGATACAAGAAGCTTACAGAATACCAAATAGACTGGATAAAAAAAAGTCCCCTCACCACATAATAATAAAAACACTAAACATACAGAATAAAGAAAGAATATTAAGAACTGCTAAGGATAAAGGCCAAGTAGCATATAAAGGCAGACCTATCAGAATACACCTGACTTCTCAATGGAGACAATGAAAGCCAGAAGGTCATGGTCAAGCATTACGTAGACATTAAGAGACCACGGATACCAGCCCAGACCACTATACCCAGCAA